TTTTTTTTTTTTTTTTTTTTAAACTTGTTTAGTGCCAAACTATTCTCATTACTGTTCCCAAGTATTCCAGCTCCCACACCTTCAGCTCCTTTTAAGGGCTTATTACATCTATTTTGCCACAGAGCACTGTGTTAGACAACTTTGTATATTATGGATATAGATGTCTTCAACAACAACAACAAAAAGAAAGAAAAATAAGGACAACTGGTAGGCACCCTTCATAATTTACCAACATGAGTGCATTGATATATACCATATTTACTCGAATCAAAGATGACTCCGATTATAAGATGACCCGCCCCCAATAATTAAATTCTATGTAGAGAAAATTTGTAAATTTGATTTTTTTTTCCCAGGTATACAGCCTAATTATTCTGGAGATCTGTCTTAAATTTGTCCCCCTCCCACTGCCACAGCAGGGAAAATAAATCTGGGAGTCAAGTAGCCCCTTTGCCCCTCAACAGCTTCTTTCCCTTGCAGCCCCTTCCCCTCTCCCCCTTACTGTCAGACCCTGCTCTTCCTGAACACATGGAATTAAGAAGTAAATTTGAAAACACTGACCTTGAAATAAATTTGCATGTAGTACCCATAGATTTAGTTAATTTCTTGAAACTGTTGCAAGTTTTAGCACAGGCACTCCATCAACACATTTTAACTAACACTTTGGCACCTGCTTATGTACAGCACAAACTATGCATAATATTAATCCAAAGCCAAAGGGTTCACAACTTATTATATAATAAAGTTCATTAGGCTGGGCCCCAGAGTCAACAGCATTTCAAGCCATGGTGACCCCACAGCTCAGCACTACTCAGTATGCGTGTGTACTCCAGACACCCAGCGCAAAGGATCCAGCCATGTGCCTTGCAAAATCACGACAAGAACACCCAGTTCTACTCATGAGTCCCAAGATCCTCCAAATATTGATATGCAGATGAGGCACAGGGCAACCTGGTCTGGCTTCACTTCATAGAAGGTGGGGCCACAAGCTGGGAGAGGGCCTGACCAATGGATTCTGGGTGAACTGTTTGAGGCATCGTTTTGTGATGCTTGCCAGGCATTTAAAGCTAGTGAAAAAACAGCAACCCTTGGAAATGGGAAACAAAAGGTGCAGCTCAATTCTGGGAGTGGAGAGGAAGTTGATGCAATGTGGTTGCTCACCATGACGTGAAAAAGGAGTAGATGCTAAGGGGGGCTGCATTCAACAAGCACTGTCATATATCTGAGTCAGGTGGGCTGTGCTAACCTATATTTGTTGCCCACCTGAAAGGCCCACCAAACTGCCCCAAGCAAACGTGACAGTGGAAGGTGCAAACAATCAACCATCTCCTCTGGTGCTACCCATAAGCTAAGGGGGTGTGGTGAATAAACGTTACTCCTCATGGTCATGACCAGGGTCAAGACCCTAAACAGACAGTACTGTTCAGTCACGTGACCAAGCAGCAGGGGACCTCAACAGCCCGCTTGGACCGGTTCAACTTCTGCTTCAGAAACATGTACATAAGACCAGGAACCTGCTCACATACAGGCACACAAGCCTCTCAGTTGCAGGCTGTGTCAAAATGGGACAGAGAGACGCAGGGATACTACAGGAAATTGCTAGAAGACATCAGGGAGATGGCAGAGATCATGTCAAAAAGAAAGACTGGCACAGACTGTTCAGAGGGGGACAACCAGTGAGAGTGAAAACAACCACAATGACAGAGACAACCACAACAACAATAATAATTAAAGTGATGAGGGAAAGGACTAGGGAATCGGGAAGGGAAGCTGGACAAAACGATAGGTGGAGGAGAGATGAGGAGATAGAGGCGGTCCTTTATGCAATTGTTATGGCTAACACACACACACACACACTCTCTCCCTCTCTCTCATGGCCCATATTGGGCAAACGTGTATGTTATAACCACACCCAGTGCTGGCTGCATTTAATCAACTTAATAGTTGATTTCCATTGCTGATCATATGCTGCTTTTGGGAGCATTTTAATGACAGTCAATGTATTTAATGTGGCTTCCTTGTATGTGAATGTAAGATGAGTGGCTTCCCCCCCATACTGATCAGGGGAAAAAAACAGGTCTTGTATTCAAGTAAATACAGCAATACACACAAATAGTTAAGATTTTAATTCATTTACCTATGGCAGAACACAGGCCGTTTCTTGCAAAAAACAAACAAACAAAAACAACAAAAAACCAAACCCTCAGCCATTTTCATTAGGGCCAACATCTGATGCAACAGTTAAAAATCCTTCTCCTTCTCTTCCTGCATCCTTGCACAAGACTCTCGAAAATAAGTCTCTCCCTGTCAATCCCTAAACTTTCTTCAATAGGGCCACATCCCCTGGAAGAACCTCAATACCAACTCCCAGGTTGGCATTTCCTCTTTTAAAGACAAAGCTGTTGTTCATGTTTTTATCCGGAGTGAATGTACAATAAAAGCACAAATTAAGTATGAATATTATGTTATCCATGTCAGATTAGTGCATTCTAATCCAAGCCCAAAGTTTAAAATGCCATTCATTAACTTTAAGCTTTACAGTGCCCAAGTACCAATGTTGTGGACAGAGACGGAATATTAACTGATGATATTTTGGTAACTGAGGCAAGTCATTTTGTAAGAGTAGTTTTACAGCATGGCTGAAGGTGAAAATACTTCTCCCTACACAAAACATTCTACCTGGTGAAGGAAACATAGGAAATTGAGCTGAATGTTCAAAGTCCAGTCAAAATACTGGAGGCCTATTTAAACTCTGGGACAACACTTCAATGAATCACTTGATTCTGAAGCCAAAAAAGAAGCACTCCACTTGGCCTAACTTATAAAACAATCAAAATTGCATCTATGCTGTACGTTTATGTTTATTAACTGTTAGTGAATTAGTAACTTTGTGAAATGTACATGCTTATATAGTTAGCTGAACATTTTTGCCAAAGTCTTGAACCAACTCTTAGAAGCTTTTATTGCTCCTTGAATATAGTGCACAACAAGTTGGGATGCTAAAAACTTTTAAACCCTTGTTGGCATAAAAATGTACTAAGCATGTCAAACTGGAAAAGAAGTAAATTTATAAGGACAGCAGGTATTATTCAACTTGGACAGCCGCTCTTAATGATGTGCCAAGTACGTATCAAAAATAAGACATGTCCTTGCTAAATTTCTCAGTATTAAATCTTATTCAACTGACAGTTCTCCCAACACACTGGATTTCTCAGAAATCCTAGAACTAAAGGATTTATCAAAATATCTCCTCTATAAGATACTTGCACACTGACTTTGGAAACAAATTTGAAAGAGACTGAAAATCTGCCACCATTGTGCCGTAACCCTAGGAGAGCAGAAAAGAAGAAAGCTTGCCAAGATGAACAAATTAAGCCAAGTTAAGGAGAGAGGAAATTCACCATGCATCAGCTACTCAACAGAGGCAAAACACAGTTACTGCAATCCCACAGCAAGTAAAAGCATCTTCCAAGTGAAACATCTAAGTTACCACCATCTAGCTCCTACTTACCACAGTACAGGAGCAGATGCACAAAAGTTGAAAATGAGGCCGTTTCATTTAAGTCTGTGTAACGTGCTACCCAATCTGCACACCAAAAATGTAGGCCTTATATTTCCTTACATGCCCCTATTTCTATTAAAGTGCTGTTTATTAGGGGTAAACTAACTGATTGTTAGATAACATAATCCACTGTTCGTTTAGCACTAGTAAGCACTATAAAAAAGATGACATGCAAGGAAATACAGAGTATATATTTCTTGGAGTCTATTTGTGTCGTGTAATGGTTCTTCCTATCAGTTATTAGTTAACTGGTAAAATGGTACCACTGCTTAGCTTAAGATAGACTGAACTGGCTCAGGGTTCAGGACAAAGGCACAGTAAACCAGGTCAGCCCACAGTACAGCAGGTCAGTCCACAGTACAATTATCCAATATTGTTCCAGATCAATGAAAAGATCTTTTTCTGCAACAATG